GGTTGCAGTCGTCGAGGGAGTGGGGGCTGTCGTCTGTGCAGCTGTCGAGGGAGTGGGGGCTGTCGTATGTGCGGTTGTCGTAGCCGGTGTAGTGCTGGTTGCAGTCGTCGAGGGAGTGGGGGCTGTCGTATGTGCGGTTGTCGTAGCTGGTGTGGTGCTGGTTGCAGTCGTCGAGGGTGTGGGGGCTGTCGTCTGTGCGGCTGTCGTAGCCGGTGTGGTGCTGGTTGCAGTCGTCGAGGTAGTGGGGATTGTCGTCTGTGCGGCTGTCGTAGCCGGTGTGGTGCTGGTTGCAGTCGTCGAGAGAGTGGGGGCTGTCGTTTGTGCGGCAGTCGTAGCCGGTGTGGTGCTGGTTGCAGTCGTCGAGGGAGTGTGGGCTGTCGTCTGTGCGGCTGTCATAGCCGGTGTGGTGCCGGTTGCAGTCGTCGAGGGATTGGGGGCTTTCGTCTTTGCGGCTGTCGTAGCCGGTGTGGTGCCGGTTGCAGTCGTCGAGGGAGTGGGCTCCGTCTTCTGTGCGGCTGTCGTAGCCGGTGTGGTAGTAGTTGCAGTCGTCGAGGGATTGGGGGCTGTCGTTTGTGCGGCTGTCGTAGCCGGTGTGGTGCTGGTTGCAGTCGTTGTGGGAATGGGGGCTCTGTGGGTGTCATAGCCAGTGTGGTGCTGGTTGCAGTCGTCGAGGGAGTGGGGGCTGTCGTCTGTGCGGCTGTCGTAGCCGGTGTAGTGCTGGTTGCAGTCGTCGAGGGAATGGGGGCTGTCGTCTGTATGGTTGTCGTAGCCGGTGTGGTGCTGGTTGCAGTCATCGTGGGAGTGGGGGCTGTCGTCTCTGTGGCTGTCGTAGCCGGTGTAGTGCTGTTTGCAGTTGTCGAGGGAGTGGGGGCTGTCGTCTGTGCGGTTGTCGTAGCCGGTGTGGTGCTGGTTGCAGTCAAAGAGGGAGTGGGGGCTGTCATCTGTGGGGCTGTCGTAGCCGGTGTGCTGCTGGTAGCAGTCGTCGAGGGAGTGGGGGATGTCGTCTGTGCGGCTGTCGTAGCCGGTGTGGTGCTGGT